ATGGGAGTCCTACAAGAATCCGATGGGAATCCTATCGGGTTTTTCCGATTCCTGTATGAATCCCATAGGAATCCTATGAGGCCTTTACGAAGCCTGTGAAAGTTCCTTAGGAATCCCATAATAATCTTGCGGGGCCTCTACTAATCCTATAGGAAGCCTATAGCAAACCTAGAGGAATCCTATAAGGACTCTGCGAATCTTATAGGATTCCTAAAGGCCTCTCATAGGATTCCTGTAGGACTTTCGCGAACCTTCGAGGATTCCTGTAGGAATCTGATAGGAATCCCAAAGGGCATTCACATATCCTATAGGACTCCAATAGGAATCTTATAGGGCCTCAGCGAATCCTATAGGACTCCCATCTGATTTTTACACGTACCCCTCTTTGGAATCCTATAGGGCCTCTACGATCCTATAGGAATCCCATATGGATTCTATAGCGTCCCTTTTTAAGGATTCTACAGCATCCTCTGAGGGATGCTATAGCATCACCGTAAGGATTCTATAACAACACTTAAGGGTTCTATAGCATCCCCTGAGGGATTTTATTGCACTCCTGAGGGATTCTATGGCATCCCTTAGGGATTCTGCAGCCTCCCCTTATGGAGACTACAGCACCCCGCATGGATTCTATAGCAGCCCTTAGGGATTCAATCGCATCCCTCAGGGATTACATAGCATTCCTCAGGGATTCTTTAGCATCCCTTAGGGATTCTATAGCATCCCTTTAAGGATTCTAAACCATCCCCTTAATGATTCTATAGCATCCCCTCAGGGATTCTATAGTACCCCTTAGGGATTCTAGTGCATCCCTCAGGGATTCTATAGCATCCCCTAGTGGTTCTGCAGATTCCACTTAGGGATTCTATATCAGCCCTTATGGATTCTAGAGCATCCCTCAGGGATTCTACAGCATCCCTCAAGGATTCCATAGCATCCCTTAAGGATTCTATAGCATACCCTTAAGGATTCTGTAACATCCCTGACGGTTTCTATCGCAGCCCTTTGGGATTCTATGCGTCCCTTTGGGGTTCCGCAGCCCCCTTCTTAGGGATTCTATGGCATCCCTGGAAGATTCTATAGCATCCCCTAACGGATTCGATAGCATCCCTCAGGGACTCTATAGCATCCCTTAGATGCTCTGCAGCCTCCCCTTAGGGATTCTATAACATCCGTTGGGGTTTTCATAGCATCCGTTAGGGTTTTATAGCATCCCGTCGGGATTATATCGCATCCCGTGGGGATGCTATAGCAGCCCTGAAGGATTCTATAGCATCCCTTCGGGATTCAATAGCAGCCTTCATGGATTCTTTAGCACCCCCTCGAGGATTCTAAAGCACCCCTCAGGGATTCTATAGCACCCCTCAGGGATTCTATAGCATCACTTAAGGATTCTATAGCATCCCTTTAGTGTCCACTTAAGGATTCTATAGCATCACCTTAGGGATTCTCTCGCATCCCTGTAAGGATTCTTTAGCATCCCTCAGGGATTTAATGGCACCCCTTAGGGTTTCTATAGCATTCCTTCGGGATTCTGTAGCAGCCTTTAAGGATTCTATAGCATGCCTGAGGGATTATAGCATCCCTCAGAGATTTTACAGCACCCCTTACGGATTTTATAGCATCCCCTTAAGGATTCTATAGCATCCCTCAGGGTTTCTATAGCATCCCTTTTTCGGATTCTATAGCATCCCTTAGGGGTTCCGTAGCCTCCCCTTGAGGATTCTATCGCATCCCTGGAATATTCTATGGCATCCCTTAGGGATTCTATAGTATCCCCCTAGGGATTCTACAGCATCCCTGAGGGATTCTATAGCATCCCTCAGGGGTTCTGCAGACTCCCCTTGGGGATTCTCTAGCATCCCTTAGCACCCCCTAGGGATTCTATAGCATCCCCTTAAGGGTTCTATAGCATTTCCTCAGGGATTCTTCAGCATTCCTTAGGGAGTCTATAGCATCCCTTAGGGTTTCTGTGGCAGCCCTCAGGGACTCTATGGCAGCCCTAAGGAATTCTTTGGCAGCCCTAAGGGTTTCTATAGCATCCCTGAGGGACCCTGTAACATCCCTTAGGGGTTCTGCAACCTCACCTCAGGGATGCTGCAGCATCCCTTGGGGATTCTATAGCATCCCTAAGGGATTCTGTAGCAGCCTATAACATCCCTTTCTAGGAATTCTGTAGCATCCCTTAGGGATTCCCTAGCATCCCTTAGGGCTTCAATCGCATCCCTTACGGATTCTACAGCATCCCTTAGGGGTTCTGCAGCCTTCCCTTAGGGATTCTATAGCATCCTTGAAGGATTCTATAGCATGCCCGAGGGTTTCGGCCCGGGGGGGCGCACATAGTTTCAGCTCGTGGGAATGCGTGTGCTTTCTTAAGGATTCCGAAGGATCCCAGAGGATTTTCCAATGGCTTCCTTTGGTTTCTGTTGCCAACCATATGTTGCGTTGCGTTGCGTTGCGTTGCCCGGGGGGGGGTCTGGGTCCACCAGTAAGATGTTTCGCCACAGGGAGCGAAACAGCGAGCTGGTGGACCCTCACTGGGTCCACGAGCCAGTTGTCTTGTCTTGTTGTTGTTGTTGTTGTTGTTGTTGTTGTTGTTGTTGTTGTCATTGTTGTCATTGTTGTTGTTGAATATTCATTTCGGAAGAATAATTATTGTTGATCCCCCCCACCGGTGCATATGGTTTTTTCTCAATCAAACTGTGCCCTTCGACGCTCGCGCCCGGTTTTTTGTCAGGGAAAGTCTTCCTGCTCAAACTGGGCCCTTGGCCCCCGGGTTACAACAACAACGGCCCTCCGCTTGAGACTTCCTCACAATTTAGCCAGGACCCCCGCTCCCGCCCGAGACTTCCTCGCATTTTATTCCAGAATCGCGCTCTCGCTCGGGACTTCTTTACAATGTATTCAGGAATCGCTCTCCCGGCGCTGTGGAGTCGCGCTCTCGCTGGAGACTTGCTTGCAACTTACTGAAGAATGGCCTTGCGTTGGAGTTTCCTGCGATTTGCCCAAGCGCCGCGCTCCCGACATCCAGGCACCCAGGAGTCGCGCCCGTTGTGGCTCCATGGGCATGCCCTTCGTGGCCCCGCTGTCGCCATGTGTGTCCCCCCCACTGTCCTACGTGGCCCAGTTGCTACCTTCAGTGGCCCCATAGTTGCCTTCTGTGGCCCCATTTTATCTGCACTTCGTGGCCCCCGCTCGTTTGCGCTCTTCGTGGCCCCATACGCATTCCTTTCGTGTCCCCGCTGTCGCCCTTCGTGGCCTACTTCGTGCCCTTCGTGGCCTTGCTGTCGTTCTCTCTCGCTCTCGCTTTCGCTCGTCGTCGCCGTCGTTGTCGCCGTCGTCTTCGACGTCGTCGTCGTCGTCGTCGTCGTCGTGGTCGGTACCCTGTCCGTCCCTTCCTGGGGTCGGGTCGACGGTCCGCGGCCGCCCCGCCGATCAGCGCTGCAGCTGGCCAGACCGACGGTCCGCGGCCGCCCCGCCGCTTGCCGGGGCCCGGCCTGCAGGGAAGTAAGTTATACCCCCCAGAAGGGGTTCGATCGAAGACGAAGAGGGCGGGTATCGAGGGTTTGGGAAATACGCGTTATTGGACACTCGAGCATATAAGGGCGAACAGTTTTAAACAACATATTGTTGTTGTTGTTGTTGTTGTTGTTGTTGTTGTTGTTGCTGCTGCTGCTGCTGCTGCTGCTGTGTTGTTGTTGTTGATGTTGTTGTTGTTGTTGTTGTTGTTGTTGTTGTTGTTGTTGTTGTTGTTGTTGTTGTTGTTGTTGTTGTTGTTGTTGTTGTTGTTGTTGTTGTTGTTGTTGTTGTTGTTGTTGTTGTTGTTGTTGTTGTTGTGTTGTGTGTGTGTGTGTGTGTGTGTGTGTGTGTGTGTGTGTGTGCGTGCGTGTATTGTGTGTGTGTGTGTGTGTGTGTGTGTGTGTGTGTGTGTGTGTGTGTGTGTGTGTGTGTGTGTGTGCGCGTGCCACGTCGCTGCGCGCGTGCCCGTGGCGCCGAACAAATGTGGATTCATGCGTTGCGCTGGCGGCTTCCGAAGGACCGCGAGCAGCAGGCCCTCGCAATCCGCTTTTCTCCCGGGTGGCCTCGCGAGGGCGCGAAGGTGAGCGCGCGTCGCGCATCGCGGCGCGCGATGCGCGAAGGTGGGTGACCTACACCAGGGCAAGCGCGAGACGCTTGGGCGTCTCGTAATGGGGGTGCGCTAAAATGGAGCGGCAGGGAGGGCTGCAGAAGAGGGACCCATGAGGGCCCCTGAAGGGGCCCCTGAAGGGGCCCCCAAAAGTGCACCTTTCTCCCCCCGCCCATTTATGAAGCGACGCCCGATGCGCTCCAGAGCGTTCACTGCATCCTTCAGCTTCGCTCTGCGGTCAGACGGTGCAGTCTCGCGCTGCGCCGAGGGCCTGCGCCCTTTTGCTGCCGGCCCCCCAGGCTGAACCATCTTGTGGCAGTACTGGGCCAGTTCTGGGGCCATTGTGCCGGGGGCCTCTTTGTAGCATCTCGGGGGGGCTCCCAAGCCCGCAAGGGAAGCGCCGAAGAGGCCGTTCTCTCTCTCTCTCTCTCTCTCTCCCGGGGGCAGGCTCGTCGCAGCTTCTCCGAGGGATCCTCGCAGGAAGGGGGGTTCCTGCGCCAGGCGGCGTGATCGCCCACCCAGCGATGTGTCGACGAACTACGGACGACGATTCACATACAGCGGGCGACGGGCGACGGGCGACGGGCGACGACCGACGGACGACGGGCGACGGACGACGCAAACGACGGACGACGGCGACGACGGTGGCGGCGTCTGTGGGCGACGGGCGACGGACGACGGGCGACGGGCGACGGCGTAAACGACGGACGACGGCGACGGTGACGTCGGCGGCGGCAGCAGCCGCGGCGGCGACGACGAGCATCTTGGAAGCCGGCTGCATGTGCGACCGCGGCCGCTGGCGGCGGCGCGGCGGCCGCGAAGGCGCTGCGGCGGCGGCGGCGCCCGTGGCTGGTGGCGGTGGCGGCGGGTGGAGGCTGCGGCTGCGACCCCCGGCGCCTTGGGCACGACGTCCGCCGTGTCGCTGTCCACGGGCAGCTGCGAGTTGGTGGAGGATCCAGCTCTCGACAAGCAGGCCTTGGAGATCGAGGCGGAGGCATTGGGTGAAAGGGAGGGGAGGGGAGGTGGGGGGCTGGCCTTATCCAGGTCCCCAGGACCAGGCAGTTATTCATGTTACCTTGCGAACAACCATGCAAGTATACCAGAACATGTCAGGACGTTCGAAAATACGGTCTTTCAGCAGTGACCTTGTAAACATATTTTAGACGCTTCGCGTAACCCCACCTTTTGTGTCCCCATCCGCTGGGCCGCCTGCGTCGGTCCCCAATAAGGGTCACTTTGTCCCTGGCATGTGCACTTGCTACAGCAGCCTATGCGCCTCTGCAGTCAATTATCTCGCTCTGTGGCCCAGACGTTATTCCCGCTCGCTGGATCTGTCCTTTGAGCCGCCGAACAAAAAGTAACCCCACCAACCCATCCAGACAAGATGCCCAGATGGGTCGTCCTGATAAGGGATGCGGAAGAGCACGCAGTGGAATACAGTGCTGGGCAAGGCGTCATACTCTAAGAGGGGTGGATGAAGGAGGAATCGGAGGAGGAACTGAGCAGGATGAGGAGGAGGAGGAGGACGGGGACAAGTGTGAGTTATCAACGATGTTCGAGAAAATCGCTCCCTCCAAGCTCCCTCCGAGGGTTTATTTTCACTGAGGGAACTGCCTCGTTGAGAGACAACCGTTTGAAGACCCTGAAGCATGCCAAAGCACAATTCTCGGGACTCCAACGCCAAGGATCAACCTGACTGTTGCGTCTTGACGATCCTGAGTCGTGCCAGAACACCATTCTGGGGAATCCAACACCGCGAATGAACGTAACTGCTGCGCCCTCACAATCTTGAGTCCTTCCAAAACACCATTTCTGGTCCGTTGACCATGGGGATCCGTGCAACTCTTTCAATTCTTACACCGAATGTGCGCGGCGCTACGGCGAGAACCACATGTTAAGAAATAATCACCTTCAGTCCGTGTTTTTTGCAACGAACGTGCGCGGCGCTAAGGCGAGAACCACATTTCGAAGACCATCCGCCTTCCAGCCGTGAAGGTCTTGTAATAGGTTTAACAGCGAATGTGCGCGGCGCTAAGGCGAGAACCACACTTTGCAAAAGACCCGCCTTCAATCCGTGAAACTATGGCACTATTCGAAACGAATATGCGCGGCGCCAAGGCGAGAGCCACATTTTGGAAACGGTCGGCTCCCAATTTGTGAAAAGGTTGCGATTTTTTGGTAAGCTTCAGGGTCATACATGGCAAGGAAGTCTCAGGCGAACGGCCCAGCCCGCCCTTTCGACCGGCCTCGGGGTGCGACAGGGAGGAGTATCTAGAAGGGGAAGTATTTGGAGCAGGGCGAGGGGAGGGGGAGGAGGGAGGAGGAAAGAAGAGGACCAGGCGGATGACGAGTAGGACTAGGCGGATGATAATGATAATGATGATGATGATGATGATGATGATGATGATGATGATGATGATGATGATGATGAATACGACGACGACGACGACGATGATGATGATTATGATAATGATGATGATGCTGATGCTGATGTTGATGTTGATGCTGATGATGATGAGGATGATGATGCTGATGATGATGCTGATGATGCTGATGATGCTGATGATGATGATGATGATGATGATGATGATGATGATGATGATGATGATGATGATGATGATGATGATTATGATGCTGATGATGGTGCTGATGATGATGATGATGATGATGATGATGATGATGATGATGATGAGCTGATGATGCTGGATGATGCTGATGATGATGATGCTGATGATGATGATGATGATGATGATGATGTGATGATGATGATGAGATGATGATGATGATGATGATGATGATGATGATGATGATGATGATGATGATGATGATGATGATGATGATGATGATGTTGAATGAGGAGAGGAGGAGGAGGAGGAGGGGGAGGAGGAGGAGGAGGAGGAGGAGGAGGAGGAGGAGGATGAGAGGAGGAGGAGGAGGAGGGAGGAGGAGATGGAGGAGGAGGAGGAGGGAGGAGGAGGAGAGGAGGAGGAGGAGGAGGAGGAGGAGAGGAGGAGGGAGGAGGAGGAGGAGGAGGAGGAGGAGAGGAGGAGGAGGAGGAGAGGAGAGGAGGAGGAGGAGGAGGAGGTGGTGGAGGAGCAGGATGAGGAGGGGGAGGAGGATGAGGAGGAGGAGGAGGAGGAGGAGGAGGAGGGTCGGCAGGAGGAGGGCAAGCAGAAAGGCCAGAGGCCTCTTTGATGCCTCTTGGGGCGTCTTGGGGACTCTTGGCAGTCCCAAGGGTCTCTTGAGAGCCACTTGAGTGCCCCTTGAGGGGCCTCTTGGGGCCTTTTGGGGGTTTCTTGGGAGCTTCGGGGCCTCTTGGGGCCTCTTGGGGGCCTCTTGGGGCCGTCTTGGGGCACCCTTGGGAACCTCAGGGGCCATCTGGGGGCCATCTTGAAAGAGATCAATCAATCGAAGGGGGCTCCTTACTTGTCCCCCCCCCACGAGGCAACAGTGTGGCCAACATTACCTTAGTAAAATTAGTGATTTTGGATTTCTCGCCGAGGCCTGTGATGGCGTCTGGGGTGCCCCTGGGGCGTCTCTTGGGGGTCTCTTGGGGGTCGCCGGGGAGCCTCTTGGGGGCCTCTCGGGGGCCCCTTGGGACCTCTTGAAGGCCTCTTGGGGCCTCCTGGTGTTGGGGTTGCTGCTGTTGTTGTTGTTGTTGTTGTTGTTGTTGTTGTTGTTGTTGTTGTTGTTGAACATTATTTATTCTAAAGAAGAATTATTGTTGGGACCCCTGGTGCGCGGCCCCCTCGCCGCGCCTAGGCCGCAGCCACATTTTCATCATTTTCGTGAGGAAGTCTCAGGCAAAACGTGGGTGTCCGGATCCGGTTGTTTTGTTGTCCCCCGTTTTCCCTTGCAAGAAATAAGCTAAAGTGGACATTTCTTGTTCTAACATAACCAAACTTCAAGAATCCCTTGCAAAAAATAAGGAAAGTGGACATTCGCGCGCGCAAGACGAAATCCTTCCAAAACCTTAGTTTTCGTAGCGATTTTAACATAAAAACATAAAAAAAAAAACCAATGGTTTTTCAAAAACAAATTGTCAAAATTTCATCCCGCGCGCTCTTGCGGATTCGTAGGCAACCCAACACTTTTTAAACATTTCTGTCAAACGGGCTTTTGCGAGCAACTTTTTCGAACTTCTGCGACAACGGTTGCGCACCTGCCAGGGCCATCATCCATGTCAAATAATACCATGCGGGACACATTCGTTTTTTCTTCGCGCGCGCACGCCGTCGTCGTCGGCCGCGGGGCCCTGAATAGTAGCCACGGTCGTCCGCATGCCACGAAGTGAGTGTCCGAACGTCATTGGGCGGGAAGCTGGGTGTGGGTGGTGGCGAAGAGTCGTTTGGAAATTTGGTGGAGCTTGAACCGACCCCCCCACAAAGTGGGGGTATTGCCCGCCTCCTATGAAAACCCTGGCACTGGTGAGAACGGAGTGTCCCCACGTGCTAGTAATTGTTGTTGTTGTTGTTGTTGTTGTTTTGTTGTTGTTGTTAATGTTGTTG